CACTTCTGGGGGGGCCCAGGGGCCCTTTTCCCCCACCGAGCCAGGCCTGGGGGGTACAGACGTTGCAGTGGCTCAGCCAGACCCGGCTGTGCCCCCCTTGTCCCCTCAGTGCCCTGCAGCGGGTCCCCCAAACCGGGAGCGTTTGGGGTGTTGTTGCAGCCCCTCTCGGGGTGCCAGGGAGGGGGCACAGTGTTCAATCTGCCCTCCATCCACCCCCCCCCCGCCCCGTACCCCACCCCCCAGCCTGGCACTGGGCTAAATATACCCGGGGCTGAAACCTGAGCCCCCGGAGCCCCAGCCCTGCACCCGCCCCGCTCACCCCCGGCTCTGCCACCATGGAGATCCCCGGCAAAGACCACCCCACCGCCCCGGTGAGCGACCCCCCCCCGGCCCCACAGCCCCCCCAGGACCCTCCCGTGCCCGCCCTGCCCTTGGTGCTCCTTGGGGTTGGTCCCTGGTGGGGCTCTATGGGGTGAGGGGGTCGTGTCTGGATCACGGTGACCCCCTTAAAGCCCCCCCTGCACAGGGCAGGAGAGGGGGCAGCTGGTCTCTGCCCCGTGGGTTTTGGGGAGGGGGTCTCTAGGGGGGCTGTTGCCCCGGGGCTGGGGGCTGTGTGAAGGGGCTGAGCGACCCCCAAATCCCTGGTGTTTGGAAAGGTTTGGACAAATCAGGGATGGGGGGTCTGGTGGGGCTGGGGAGGGATTGTAGAGGGGCTGGAGGGGTGGGTGGTGGGTGACTTTGTTATCCCCCGTGGCACCCACCACCCTGGGTCTGGGGGATCCTGTGGGTGTCCCCCCCCAGGCTCCAGGCCCGGGGTGTGAGCAGGGGGTCCCCAATCCCACCCCAACTCCAGCCTTGTCCTGGGGTGACCCCGAGTCTCCCCACGGCACCCTGCCCCCATTGCCATGGGACCCTCTTTAGGGGGGGGCAACGCTGTCTCCACTGGCCTGTCCTGGGCTGGGGGGCAGCCGAGGGGTCAGGGGGGTCTCCGTTGCCTTCCCAGCTCTGGGAGAGGCCCCGGGAGCCGCTGGGAGCGGGTCGGTGTCACGTTCCCTGTCGGAGCAGTGGGAACAGCTGCCCTGTCCCTCGGCCTTCCCTGACCCCGCGGGTGGGATGGCCCCGGGCAGGGGGTGGGTGGGCACCGGGGGGAGTGGGGGGGTCACAGGGCTGCAGGGGTGGGCTCCCTGCTCCGGGGGAGGCCAGGGTGGGCTGAGCCCCCTGTCCCTGCTCTCCCAGGGCTCGGCAGAGTCCTACACCAGCCGCCCCTCGGACTCGGATGTGTCGCTGGAGGAGGACCGGGAGGCGCTGCGGAAGGAGGCCGAGCGCCAGGCCATGGCCCAGCTGGAGAAAGCCAAGGTGGGAGAGCTGGGGAAGAGCCCCCTGGACCCCCTGCCCCAGCAGGATGGGCCCCTCAGGCACAGGGACACACCCCCCCTATTCCTGCAGCATCCCACCCCCCTGGAGCGGCGGCACTGGGAGGGCAGTGGGGTCTGCTGGGCGGAACTGGGAGCCTGGGGCACCCGGGTTCTCACACCCCTTGCCTCTCAGCAATTAGCTAATGAGCCCCTCGTTGTCCCTGGGGTGAGGGGGTTGTGGCCACGGTGTCCCCAGCCCGGTCTCCGGAGCTGAGCCAGCCCTGCTGCCCCGCTGGTGGCACTGGTGCTGTCACCATCACCTGCCTGATGATGGGGCAGTGTGGTGGGATCTCGGGGGTTTGGGGCAGGCTGGGAGGGCATCCTGACCCCTCTCCTCCCTCTCCTCGGGCAGACGAAGCCGGTGGCGTTCGCCGTCCGCACCAACGTCGGCTACAACCCCTCGGCCACCGACGACGTGCCCGTGCAGGGCATGGCCATCTGCTTCGAGCCCAAGGACTTCCTGCACATCAAGGAGGTGGGCAGCGGGCTGGGGGGGCTGGTGGCAGCCCCGGGGTGGGTGTTGG